AGTTACCACTTCCAGACAGCTCTGGGAGGAGTTTTATGAAGGGAATGGGTGAGTGGGCTCAGAAAAATTCTCTGTTCAACATTTTAAAAACCCTGTATGTCTTTCCTGAAGTGCTTAGCACACCCTCTGGGCTCTGTGTCAGTAGTTACAGGGCTGCCAGGACTCCTTTGCTCCCTTTGGTAACCTGTTATCGCTGCACCCTTTGATAAGAGTAGCTGTACAAACCCCAAGCACTCTGTGCGGTGACCTTGCCATCTCCTTGGGAAGTCAGAGCAAAGCAACAGCACCCTGGAAACCATGGTACAGGTTCACAACAAGCCAATCTGCCCCAGGGCTGATTCTCTTCCCCTAGGCAGCATAAGCATCCCTCGTTCTGGCCCAAACAGCTCCTCACACAGTGCTTCGGCAGCTCATGGAGCCAAAAGCCAGTAGTACAGGAGCTCAGCAGCGCTCCTACTCTTGGCAAAAGCCATGCCACCTCACAGCTGCAGGAATAGTTTTGTTCAGAGAACAAACTCCAGAAACACTTCATGCTCTATGCCATGGTAAAAGCCAAGGAGTGAGGACTGTGCGCCGAGTTGTCTTTGTCACCAAGGGACATATTCCTAGGTTACACAATACTAAGTGGTAATTAATGGTCAAGGAAGAAATGAGCTCAAGCTCTGACTTTTGGAACTAGACGCAAATAACCTTAAACTAGAGGGTTTTGCCAAATATAGTGTGATTCTCATCTACGAAAAATGCGTTAGTAGCATATGAGCCAACCATAAAGTACACTTTGTTTCTCTCAGTTACAAAATAAGTTCTCACAGTGCAAATAAATATCAAGTGCAAACACGAGCTTTTTGAAATAACTTGAGCAGCCTAAAAACAAGGTGCATAAGCTCCCTCTACAGTCAACTCTTAGACATCTAGCCCTCAGTGATGACCTGCATTGCTGAGATCCCATGATGCAAAGCACTGGTGTGTCACAGATTCTTTGGCAGTCCAAATTTGCTTAAACGTTTTTTGACAGGCAGGATTTGCATAAGATTGGGTGTTGTCTGGCCACCTGCTGTCAGCCCCACCATGAGCTCAGCACTTTGTGCCCGGGTTGATTTGTCAGAAATCTCCCCATGTGTCTACACCTTGTCCAGATCAGCTGTGTCCTGAGGGGTGTTCCATGCCATTAACAGCTCTGGGTGCACAGGTCTGCTACTAAGCACCACTGTAGGCTCCTGCTCTATATGTGAATATATATCTGGAGGTACCTAGGTGCTAGATATTCAGGTTTTACATGATTGACATTAGCCCAGGTGAAACTCTACAAAAACCTGTAAGACAGCTGGTCTCTCCTTCACCACAAGGAGGACACCCTGCTTCTTCCCTCTCCTTTCCAGTTCCCTCTCCCAGCAACTCGAGCCAGGTGGTCCTATGCCTTCCCTTGTGCTGATTCTTCTTCATCCCTTTACTGAACCCCTACAGTCAACTACTGCAGATATTTGCTAGGATCAGCTTCTGCCTAGTTAACGAGTTGACTGAACTCACAGAGTACAGGACCAACGAGTTCCAGAACAGGCTGTAGGAAAGGGGATGGGACCTTTACACCAGGAAATCAGACTGACTTAGCCTAGCAGATCACCTGCACCCCAATGCACAGGCTATGCACATGGTGGGTGCATGACTTGCTGTTTGTTTGGATGTTTCCAGCGATTCTCCATCACATTCCTCTGAACCTAGTATGTGCTGCTCAGGTACATGGTAGCATGTGATTATGGCAAACAGCATCATGCTCAGAGCTCTCTATTAAACATCTATGCTCTTGATATATTCACAGGAGCTGCACTAAGGTCCAAATGCAGAGGCAAGCACTGAACCAAAATCCCTACTAAATGGCAAGGATGAAAGAATGGTTCACAAGAAGGAAATCAATGAAGAAATGCTTACTTGTGCAAGAATAACATGTCAGAAGGCATCAGAATGGAAAATTGTTATAACTTAAATTCTCAAAGATCTGAAAGCCAGTATCTCTGAAAAGTTGGCCTACTAGATCTCTCTGCCTCAGTTTCTCAGCTTTCAGGAGTGATTCATTGAGAAGATTCTTTCAGATCTTTGAATTGTTTGGCAGCCAACAGTTATATATACTGTCATAATCAGTATGCTTCTAATCTGCTTTGGGTTTTGGTTTTGGAGTTTTTTTACAGCTGTATTGTAGGCTTTGCTTTGTTCAAATTTCACCCAACCCTTTGAGCCTGCATCTAAAGCTCAGGAAGGTCAGAGTACAGGAATGTTTACCCCAGCTTTTGAAGGCTGACGTGCTTTAAGGCAGGCATGGTAATGCTTCACTACTGCAAACTGAAGGGATTACTGATTATAACCAGTAAACCTGTCACATCTGACACTGTTTCATGAACCTGCCACGCAGAGCAATCTGGGTCTTCTGTCAGAGGCATCTGCTAGCAGATGTCCTCTGCCAGCGGAGCTGCTCTGGCTTGTCGTAGCTTACATCTGTATACCCCATTCCCAGACACAGAATCATAGAATCAAGTGGGTTGGAAAAGACCTCCAAGATCATCAAGTCCAACCCTTGATTCAACACTGCCGTGTTTACTAGACCGTGGCACTACATGCCACATCCAAGTCAGGGTGATCTTTTCCCTCCTACCTACCAGAAACAGTCTACCTGGCATCACTTCCCTGAACCTCCCTAGACGTTGTGAAGTGCTATCAAGAATCAAGCAAAACAGTACTAGGGAGGGTGGCAAAGATTAAGAAGTGTGGATATGGGACAATGCTTGATCCCATACATAGTCCAGTCTAGCTTTTCAGTAGAGATGTCAATCCTGGCAAGCTCTCATGCTGCCTCCATTCACATGCACTCATACACCAGCAGAACTGCATGCATGCTTACTACCTGCTTTATCCACAGCAAAGTGGAAAAAAACACACTTAAAGGCATCGTACGGATGTACTCGTCCAGGTGACAAGAGTCATATGCCCTTGTGTGGGCTGTGGGATGGACTGCTCAATTTCCCTAAGACTGGTGGCACTGTACACAGGTGGCAGTCTTGCCAGGATATTTAAGGCCAGCCTCAGTTACAATAACAAAAAGCCTTTTGACATCATCTTTACTATGTGAAGATACTCGTGGTCACTTCCACTGTAGGATGGTACTTTGCTTCCCGGAGATTAAAGAGAATACACAAGTGGCAGTGGAGGTTTTCCAAAAGAAACAACATTAATCTGCTGCAAAATCAGACATACAACCTTCTGCCAGCATAACTGGTGTGTGAACACCATACTTGCAGAAGTCTCTCTTCTGACTTTCCCCAGCATGAAACTACAGTAGGCAAAATCAGGGAAGGGAGTAAAGAAAATTTTCAGATTTTATGCACTTCTTACATTTAGTTCAGTTTTGGCTAACACAGGCTTTAGCTCACGACCACTGCATCAAGTATGTTCACTGCTAAGTAGTCTGTGCGCAGGTGGGTGCAAGGTTTAAAAGCTGCTACTGCAGTAAGCTCCTTAACAGGAGAAATAGTCTGTCCTCTGCTCCTGATGTAAACCAGACCTGAACAGAGATAGGTAAACTGTTCAATTATACATGGTTAAAGGTCTGGTCTTCTCCTAGCTGCAAAAGATATTTATTGCAAAGTAGCAGTCTCGTTTGTGATTCATGACATTTCCTAGGTGGGCTGGTCAACAGTACTTGTTATTAATAGCCCTTTAAAATATCACATTACTTATCACCTCTGTTTTCCTCATCATTTTGTTTTGTGTTTCATAAAACTCAGAAAGGTCACAAAGTGCTCCTCAGGGAAAAATTAATCCAGGAACAGCAGCCTTCTCAGAGGTTCCCTTCAGAAACACTAACCAAGATACAGAGTTGTTAGTGTGGCTTAGAAAGATTTGCACATGGCAGAAAGGTGGTGAAAAATTTGCAGGCAGAATTTTTTGCCCATAGATATTTTTTGTTTAAATCCTCACTTTCGTTGTCCCATCTCGTACTGCAGTGACTGGTCTGCTTCCTATCTGAGACACAACACTGTTCTTTAGCCATTAAGTGCCTAAAAGAAATCTGCCCTGTTGTGTTTTCTCTGTGTTGTCTTCTTCTTTGTCCACAAAGCAGCATGCAAGCAGTGATCCATGTCCACCATAATTTTGAGGATAAGGTTTTTCAGTTGTATATATATATATGAGGAAGAGAACCATATTGTTTTTATAATATTTATGGCCTCTGAAAATCCTGGACAGCAGAATTACCACCTACCCCTTACTGTGCATTGATGGACTCTAAGTGACAGATTGAAATGGCCATAATCTAAGACATCAGATCTTTTATTTCAAGTATTGCGGCGTTGAAGTTGGATAGGGCGGTGGTTCTCCAGGCAATGGGCTAAAAGCACCCTACACCTGGAGGGGAAGGTGCCCTCCCCCCCACCATGAGGTCTCCATGGCCCCTGCAGAGACCACAGGACAAGCAGCAGCAAGGAGAGAGGCAGAGAGAGTTTATTGTTATGGGTAGCGACGTAAATAACTTTAGGGGGGATTACAAGGTGACCATTAGGAATCCAGGAGGTCTTACAAACCAACCAATTACAAGAAAGGGTTAACAACCAACAGGGAGACTTTCAGGTTTCTCTCAGGACATTCCAAAGCAGAGATAAGACTAAGAATCCTGGGAAGAAGAAGGTGAGTTGCAAAAGTTACAAAAGTCATCTTGGAAACGTGTTCACTTAACATTAAAAACCTCTGTCTTCTCTTATACACTAAAAGCCTACTGCAACAAAGTCTGTCAAACAAATTAACAACAGAGGCAAAAGAAAAGAGCCAAAATGTGTTTAGAGATGGCATTTGAGAAACAAAGGTTGCAATGCATGGCTTGACAACTGACAAAGTTAATTAATAATTTGTTTGTGAGTTTGAGGCAAACACTTCATCTGTTATTTAAGCATGAAGTGAGGGCCAAAGCCGTGGAAAGCAACAGAGGTAACTATTTTAATGAGTTGTGACATACAAAGATGCCAACCCTGGATGACTTTTTAGAGCAGGTAGGAGAATTTGATTTCTTCCAGAAAAAAGTCCTCTTTTTTTTAAGCCTACTTTCTGCTACTTTTGTTCCCATTTACGTGGGGATTTTTTTCCTGGGTTTCATCCCTGAGCACCATTGCCGCAGCCCCGGGGTGGCTGAGTTAAGTCAGCAGTGTGGTTGGAGTCTGGAGGAGCAGTTGAATCACACAGTTCCTGAGTGGGATGGCCATGGATTCAGTTACAACAGCCGCTGCAGGAGGTACGAGGTGGACTGGAATGCAACAGGCATCAGCTGCACTGAGCCCCTCAGAAGCCTCGTGGGCAATGGGAGCACTGTTCCCCTCGGGCCCTGCCGGGATGGATGGGTCTACGACTCCCCAGGGAGCTCTCTTGTGACAGAGGTAAGACATAGCTTATCCAGAAAATTCACTCTTGTCTGCACAGCTTAATGCTAGAAGATGCTGGATTAGTAAAGTTTGCTTTTGGTGTACAGTCTGAGTCTGATTGCTAATAAGTAGCGAATATCAGAACCTGGTAGGCACTTGCAGCAAAGATTTATATATAAAAATAATGGGAAATTATTGATTTTCCTGGGAGTATAGAATTGCCATCTTCTCATCAGTTAAGCCTGTCATTAATGGCTATTCTCATTTCCATCAGCAAACTGAGGGTAGCACTCTGTAGCCCAAACTGAGGAACTGCACATTTGTGTGATAATCCAAACAGACACCCACTTATAATTAATAAGAACAGAGGATAGGACTACATTTCTCAGATAATGCTTTAGCAACAGCAGTGTTCTTTTCTCTCAACTTGCAGAATCTAAACCAGATAACCTAAAATATGAAAAACCATGCAAACCAATATCAACAGTTTAAAAGCCATGTAGAGAACTGAAGCATAGGAAGGACCTCAAAACAGATCTCTCCTACTTCTCTACCAGTCCCAAATCTGTATTAGCTATACCTAAACCATGCCTAACAGATGTTTCTGTAACTTATTCTTAACAAAGTGCAATGCTGAATACTTCACAGCTTCTTTGGACATGGTATTCATATTTCCTTGCTTCACTGCCGTCACTGTTACTTAGCAAGTTCATCTCATTTTCCCTTGGGACAGATGGGCTGGGGTAGAGAAGAGCACTCCAGCTGTTGTCCATACCAGGAAAACAGAGCTGAGCTGTTTGGTATGGCCCAGCACACTTGTCTGCGTTAGAAAAAGACATTCATTCTACTTTCTGGGTTGAAGTCTAACCACACTTTGGTGAATATTTTCAGCTGTAGAGAAGTTATTACCCATTTGTCCTTCTCTCTTCTCCAGGTGCATGGTGGTAACCTGTTAATTGTAAATCAAAAGCAAGTTCCCAAGTATTCATTCACTGCAGAGGAAAGTCAGCCAAAACCCACTTTTGACAGTGCCAAGGAGGTGTGAGACAGGCATCTCCTGGCTCCACCCCAGCAGGTCTCATGGCAGCACCTCCATTTCTCACACCCAGCAAGCACTACTTTCATGCAGCAAGGCAATACATGGTTTGAGACAGGTCTTGGCATCTGGGAAGGAAACGATGCTCCAAGTGTCCTCCAAATTTCAAGCAGATGGGTGGGGAGGAGGAGGAGAGATTTTTCTGAACTTATTTATTTGTTCACTGGGATTTTCTCTCCCTTTCTCACTCTCCTTATGTGTCATTACACAATCATTTTTCAGGGTGTAACTTTTTTCACAAGATTTTAGAAAATCTGGACAAGATGTATTGCAGATGTCAGTTTAAGAGGTTAGAGAGTTTCTTTTCTGGTGTCTGTTTCCTCATTGGTGTCATTGGTTTCCTTCCTCGTCAAACAGCCATGCGGGGGGGACTGTCAAACAGTTTGTGGGGAATGCTCCTGTGCTTCTAATTGTGGTTGCCCTTGCAGTTTAATCTAGTGTGTGAGGACTCCTGGAAGCTGGACCTCTTCCAGTCATGTGTGAATGCTGGGTTTTTTATTGGATCCATGAGTATTGGCTACATAGCAGACAGGTAGGTGGTATGTAGACAGGTATGAGATTATCTGTTTCCTTTGCTTATCTGCTTTCTGAATGTTGTTGAAAAAGATTCATGATTTGAAGAGAAAATTAATGCAGTCAAAACCTGATTCAAAAGGTCTATGTGTCACTTACAAAGGGGTGGATGGTAGTTTCTAAGGCCCTGCTTTTAAAGTTGTGACTCACGAATCCATGGAAATGCCGTGGTGCTGCTCCACTTTAGGGCCCTGGGGAATCTGCACATTCACAAGTGAAGCGATTTTATTTTCTAACACAGGTACAAACTCCAGTGCAAGCTCAGAGTCCAAGATGAAATTTTAACTCGTGCACTAAAACTATTTGCTCATCTTTGCAATAAATTTGTTTCACATTAATTTTAACTGTATCCAGATGGTCATAAATCAGTCGATATTACTGTGGAGAACAAAATATATTTATTTTGGCTGGCATTTATTATCATGCTATTTTTATTAGTGGATATTGAATAATTTAATGGTTTTCATAATTCATACTTTTAACTGAATGTGTATCTCTGTCAGCTAGAAAAGAAATGCTTTTCCAGTGTTCCAGTAAGCTTGTTTGTTTTGGAAACTGCCTATTTCTGACTATCACTAGTCACAGTGATACAAGGAATGACAAATAACCAGGATGTACAAACTCTATTCAAGAAGAGCTCAATACTCAGCCAAGGTTGATAAAATATGTAAAGATCACAGTTAGCAAACAAGATCCCCATAAAAAGCTATTACAGCTTTGAAAGATGGGCTGAGGAGCCATATCAGAGCGTTCTTGAACTCATTAGCTAAATCATTAACCAGAAATGAGTAATGACCTGAAAAGGCGAGACAGGTGAGTCCCCTGAACTTCTACTGAGATGGAAAACATCGCAAAAAGGAAGAGTAGATATAGACTCCTACTCAAAATGAACACAGTAGAGGGGGACAGGGACCCTCTCCAGCCTCTTCCAAACCATTTGGTTTGCTACCCTGCCCTACGAGGGGCTGAGCCTCATTCTTCTCTTCTTTCCCTCTGCAGGTTTGGTCGCAAACTCTGCCTTCTGGTCACAGTCCTCATCAATGCAGTTTCGGGGGTTCTGATGGCCTTTGCACCAAGCTACACCTGGACAGTGATCTTCCGCCTGATACAGGGACTGGTCAGCAAGGGGGGCTGGCTGACAGGCTACGTGCTCAGTTACGGCAGCTTGCAGTTACACCTTCTGGGCAGGAGCCCCCTCTTTAGCAGCAGGGCTGACCCCCCTGGTGCCATCTGATTTTCAAAACACTGTGTATAACAAGGGCAGACAGTGACACTGTGCTATTTACTGCCAAACTGCACCTCTCTGCTTAAATACAGGTGTTTATGACCCAAGCTTGCACCAGCTCATAGACATAAATTGAATAACTAGGAGGCAGCTCTGAAAACTAGGGAATGTTCATAGCTGGAGAGCACATGCCAAAGTGAAGGGCAAGGTCTAAAGACAAGAACAACTTGAAAATACTGTGAAGATGTATGGCACCTTCCTGTGAAAGATAACATTTGTGTTTTACAGCCTTGGTGTCAAAAGGATTTTTGCTGTGCTGCATCACATGCTTGGTGGGTAGAGAGGCTGAGTTCCCCATCTGTGTCTTATTTGGCCATTTGGTTCTTAGACTGAAGAAGCGTGTTGAGGAAAGCAACCTTTGCCCTGTGTCGATGGGTGAGGGCCTGACACCCACAAAGGCAGGGGTGAAGTCCCCAGCTAACTGGTGGAGGAGTAGGAGTCAGGTCTTGCCCTCTGATTTACACCAGGGAACAAGACCAGTTCTGCTTTCCCACCCTAACCCACGCCAGTGTGCCATGACACAAGGGCACAGCTGAGCACGGGGGCTACATGAGGTCTCAGCTGGCAAGAGTTGAGTTCCCCTGGATCTCCAAACCAATCTATTTTTGCTCATATGACTTGTCTTTGCAGTTGCAGAATTTGTTGGCTCAGACTACCGGAGGGCAGTGGGCATCACTTACCAGCTTGCCTTCACCCTGGGACTCCTCATCTTCACCGCCCTGGCTTATGCGCTTCCACGCTGGAGGTGGCTCCAGCTCGCGGTCACACTGCCCAATTTCTTTTTCCTTCTCTACTATTGGTAAGTGCCTTCTCTTGGAGCTGCCAGTAATGCCACACCACACCAATAAAACCAGGGGACTGTAGCTGAGAGCTGAAGTTTCTCTGTAGGCATCAGCAATAGAGTTACATAAAGGATTTCCAAGATGATATTGGATGAGATCTGGTTTTTTTCTATTTCCTCTGCCCAAAGGTTTACTCTGAATTACCTGAGAGCAAGGGACTACCTTCGACATCTTGCAATGTTTCTGTGTTTGGGGTCTTTGCTATACATCAAAAAATAATAAGTCATGATTTCTGGAACAGTACTTGAGCTACTGTGAGAGGGGAGTTTCTTATTCATTGATTATAATTATTTTTCAATGCAAGCAACACACTTTTTTTTTTCTCTTTTTTTATAAATTTGAGTAAAAATGCTACTTAGAAAATTCTATAACTAAATCAGGGAACAGAACTGGGAGGATTTTTTTGTTTGGTCTTTTTTTTTAAGGTTATTTTTAACACAGAAGAAATTAAGGATCAGGTTTACAGCTGTTCTTTTTTATATCAACAGGCTATTAGCTATTTCTAAAATACGTCAAGAGGATTTATCTCGAACTAATGTTTCAAAACTATAATAAACTGGGTTTAGATTTTAAATTTTTTTTTTTTTTTAAATTAAATTCAGGCTACCTTGTCGGTCAGGTGAAGCACAAATCACTGGCAGCCATAGCTATCACAGAGTTCAACACCACCTATGGATCCTCAAATGGAGCACAATTCCCATGAGGAGAGGCTGAGGGAGCTGGGGGGACTCAGCCTGGAGAGGAGGAGGCTCAGGGGAGACCTCAGAACTCTCTGCAACCCCCTGACAGGAGGGGGGAGCTGGGGGGGAGGGTCGGGTTCTGCTCCCAGGAACCAGCAGTAGGACACGAGGGCACAGCCCTGAGCTGTGCCAGGGGAGGTTTAGGTTGGACATTGGGAAGAAATTCTTTCCAGAGGGAGTGCTCAGCCATTGGAATGGGCTGCTTAGGGAGGGGGTGGATTCCCTGTCCCTGGAGGTGTTTAAGGACAGACTGGATGTGGCATCAGTGCCATGGGCTGGGAACCACAGCGAGGCTGGATCAAGGGTTGGACTGGACGATCTCAGAGGTATTTTCCAACCCAGTTGATTCTATGATTCTATGATTCAATACACCTTGGAATTCTAGCCTGAGCAACTCAGCTCTATTTTCATTTTCTGTGTACCTGTAATGTGCATTTTCCTTCCCTGTAGCTGTCATGCTTACATGTGTTGCAGGTGTCTGCCTGAGTCTCCCAGGTGGCTAATAGCTCAAAAGCAAAATGATAAAGCTATGGAAGTTATTAAGCGCATTGCCAAGGGAAATAAGAAGAAGCTACCTCTTGCTTTCCAGGTGACTGCACTGCATTTGCTGCACACATGCCAGCCTCTAGCAAAATAATGTTATGAGTTTAGGATTGTGCCGGGTTTAGAGTAGGGAGCAGTTTGGTAGTCAAAATCACTGGAGTTTCCTAATGCAAAGGCAAGTGAATTTTCTTTACTTTGACTGCCTAGGACCCTCGCAGAGCATATTTAGGAAAAAGAAGCTTGCAAAAATCTCCTGTAGATAACACAAAGTCGCATCAATCAAAAGGAAACTTGACAAATCTCATTAGTTAAAATTTCAGAACAGCCTTACTTATTATTTTTTTAAGCGCTGCTTCATGCCATACACATGACTGAGGTATGAAGAGTACCTGTATAAATCTTCATATTTCCTTTCCCCTGAAACTCTGAAGGGGGGTTTGCTGCAAGAAAAAAAAAAAAAAAAACCACAACCAACACTCTGAAGTTGTTTTGCCTTCAGGTACTTAACTGGCTCATCCTCCCATCAATCTAGAGGAAAATACTCATTATAATGCTCACCACCCTCTCCACTGTAATCTCTTGTCCTGTCATTTATGCTCCCAGAATCTCAGCTCTGAAGATGAAGATGGAGAAAAGTTGAAACCTTCATTTCTAGACCTGGTCAGGACACCTCAGATCAGAAAATACACATTCATTTTGATGTACAGTTGGTAAGGATGGGAAAGCTCTTGCAGACCAAATGGAAGTGTGTGATCTGGTGCCCTTAAATCGTCATTGTTGATTTAAGCTTGTTTTGCTCCTGACCAGCTGCAAATCTCAATTCTTTGCATAAACTCTCTCCCAAGGGAGGTTGGCTTCATTTGCACCCTCTTCTCTGCCCAGGTTCACAAGCTCTGTCCTCTACCAGGGGCTCATCATGCACATGGGAATAGCCTCTGGAAACATGTATCTGGATTTCCTCTATTCGGCTCTTGTGGAGTTCCCAGCCGCCTTCATCCTCATGTTAACACTGGATCGCATTGGCCGTCGCTACACCTGGGCTGCAGCTAACGTGGTGACCGGGGCTGCTTGCCTGGTTACGGCATTTGTCCCAGACAGTGAGTTGTGTAAACCTCCTCTGCCAATGAATTCTCTCCCTGTCTCTTGGCTGTTGTTCTGGAAAATAGAAAACACTCTTTGCTAACCTGACCCATGTCAGTATTGTGATCCAATGAAGGTAAATACCAGAAAAGCTAATTTATGTCCCACCGTCACCTACATTTATACCTACTAACAAGAGGCTTGAGAAATGGGCTCAATTAAATTTCCAAAATAGCACCAAATCAGATTGTAAGTCTGCGGGTACCAGGTTAAGTCCAAGATTTTTGTCTGGCCAAAAGTTTGAATTTGATCGCAAAAATCAGGGGTTTCATCCAAAAATCTCCGTGTTTTCTGTTTCTAAAAAGCAAAAATGCATAGACACATATACACACTTAAACACAGTCTGGACGTGGTAAGTGCTTTCTGCCTTCAATAGTGCTGCTGCCATGAATGTAGGATGTCAAATAACCACGGTGGCAGACATTTGGCTTTGGTTTAGTTAAGCGTTCACTCCTCCAAGACCACAGTCTCAAAGCAGTGTGACACTTAAGGGTCACCGAATGAAAAGTCTTTCCTTTTGTTTTATGGAATATAAGTAGACTGAAACTACAGACACAAAAATGCCATGCAACTATGAGTTCACAGGGGGTCCAAGAACAAACACACAAAATGTTACACAAAAACATTGTATTTAAAACCCCAAAGTGTCAAGACAATGAAAACTTAATTTAAGAAGTGACTGGGGAGTCCAGAGGCTATGCAAGGTAGTACTGGGCTCTTGCTGGAGGAGTGCAGGAGTGGGGGTCCTGCAACCCCACAGCTGCTGCCTGTGCCAGGGCATGGGGCACAGTGCTGCCTGAGTGAGCACCTCATACTGGGGACAGGTATAGACAGTTTGGGATCTAAAAGCCCACACAGCAGATAGAGGAGTACTGTAATGACTCTGTGTGCAGGGCTAGGATATTCCTTTATTTGCAGCAGATACCTGTAGCTCCAGGTATGAAAGGAATTATAGATCACATACTGAGAGGCAGGAAAGCATCGTAAACTTGTCCCAGCTTGAAAGCCAGCAAAAGCCTCTGTGCAAAGGTGAAGAGCATCTTGCTAATGAGCAGATTTCAACCACCAAGTGATGCAGTTTTACTGCAAGCAACAAGTGGTGTCCTTGAAGGCTTTTGGTTAGTGCACCGGATAACCCAAACTGCTTTATATCATTGATTTCTTGTCTCTGTCACAGCAACCTAGCTAAGTCCCAAGTCTTGGTTACTTGCTTGAATCCCAAGACAGTTGCATTATAAATTCTTTACTGAGTGAAACTGAACACCATCATGCACTGCCCACTTGACCTTTTAGGACAGAGACTGAAATTAAATATTTAAAGCTGGTTTATTTCAATAGCAGATGAAATCCATAGTTTTGTATACCAACTTTAATGTGCACAATGTCTTTCCAGCTCTTTATTGGCTTAAAATGACTGCAGCTTGCTTGGGCAGGATGGGAATTACCATGTGCTATGAAATTATATGTGTGGTAAATCCTGAGCTATATCCGACATTTCTCAGGTAAGTGCACCACCCTCTGTCAGCAGGTAAAAGTACTGGCTGTTTCTCTGTGACAGACCAAGAGACTGGCTCACAGCTGAGGATGCACTGCAGTGGAAGAGGAGTTTGTTTGTACAAAACACACCTTGAGAAGGTGGAGGAGAGATGCTGGGTGGTGTAGCAGGGGTTTTAACACTTGTGGGTCCAGCGAGGGCACTGGGCTGCAGAGCTGGACAAGACACCCCTGGCAGAGCTGGTTACATCTGTACTCATGTGTGTGTATATTTGCATGTGCATTGCAGGAATCTGGGAGTCCTAGTCTGCTCATCCCTGTGTGACCTCGGTGGGATCATAACACCCTTCCTTGTGTACAGACTGGCAGAGCTCTGGCACGAACTGCCCCTCATCATCTTTGGTAAGAGAGCTGCGAGGTGGGTTGGTTGGCCAAAGATGAGATTAATTAGTTTGGAGGTCTATTTCCCATCTTTAAAAAAAAAAAAATAAAAAAAATAGGGAGAGATATACAAACATGTATATACACATGTAAGATACAGCTTGGTAAGTCTGTTCCATCTGAGTGTTTGGAAGCGGCAACAAAGTCACCCCTTAGCCCATTCTGGGGTGAACAGGACCCCATGCTTTTGGGACAGTCCTTTCAAGCTTTGACTTCTGCCTGCTGAGCCCCTTCCAAGGGAGAAACATCTTTGGGTGCAGGGTTACCTGACCTGAGCTCCAAGCAGGTTGACCTCTTGTCTCCCTGCATGAATGTCACATGCCACTTCACAGTGTCCAGTTTGTCAAGGATCCCATAGCAATTTAGAATGGCAAAGGAGCATGTCAGTCCTAATGTTGCTATCCTGAGAAAAGGGCTGCCTTGAACACCTACTATTGCACAGGTTCAAACCAGTGTGCCTGCATGCATCACCTGCCCTCAGTATGGTCATAGAAGGGTCTAAAACTAATCAGAAGATGAAACTAGACAGGTGGACTGGTAGTAACCTTTTATGCATGTTCTAATCTACTGAAGAGGGGAAAATACAGCTAGCCAGTGTCACCTTAATCCCACATCAGCTGGACAGCCAGAGACAAAAGCTGTTTCCTTTGCATTGTCTCACCAAAGCAAGACCCCCTCTGAGTCTGGGCCCCAAGATGGCTTTCCAGGACTCAGATGTACATCAGAAATATCAGCAATTACTCTGAAAAATAAGAATCATGAAGATGAAAAGCCAAGTGTTATTACCACTTTGAGGACTCCTTATTCTATCATTAGGGCAGACATGTCTTAATGAGAATTAATTAGAGACTTGGACTTAAACATGGGCATGACCATTGCACTGCCTTTGTGATCCTTGTTCTGTGATTGCAGCTGTGATTGTTCTAATAGACAGTGGCTTAGTTTTGCTCCTACCTGAAATGAAGGGAAAGGCTCTGCCTGAAACCATTGAAGATGCTGAAAATCTGCACAGGTATGGCATTAAGCAACTTCAAGGCAGAGCAACTCTCCTTTACATCTGCAAAGTCTGCTAAAAAAGCCCCATTTATTATGCATCTCTGGGGATCTAAGGGGTTTTGTTGCACACAGGGGATGGTTGGTGT